GAGGGAAAATCACACGTGAGGCTGCCTGCAATGTCGCTCTGCAGGATGGATTTTCACATTCAACATTTTGTGGAAATCCAGCAACTATCTTCTGAATGTGAAGTGGATAGCCAGTTCCTTGCATTACCTTTGATACCATGTAAATACCATTTTTTTTATCAACACAAACTGATTTGTGATGTCTCTCTTGACGCACAGTTAGTCTCTTGCTATGCATCTCCCTTGAATGCCGAGAAAGGTGTTTTTTCTGCATTATGCGGGAACACACTTTACATTTGACAGTCTGTTGGAATTTTGTTTTGTTTTTCTTGACTCTAATTCTCTGGTTATCATGACCATCATCCTCTTTTCCTGTGTCCTGGTCACTTCCATTTTTTATTCTTGGACCAGTGGACTCTGCCTTGGCACTTGGACCAGAGGGCTCTGCTTTGGCACTTGGACCAGTGGACTCTGCCTTGGCACTTGTTCCAGTGGACTCTGCTTTGGCACTTGGACCAGTGGACTCTGCCTTGGCACTTGGACCAGTGTACTCTGCCTTGGCACTTGGACCAGTGGACTCTGCTTTGGCACTTGTTCCAATGGACTCTGCTTTGGCACTTGGACCAGAGGGCTCTGCTTTGGCACTTGGACCAGTGGACTCTGCCTTGGCACTTGGACCAGTGGACTCTGCCTTGGCACTTGGACCAGTGGACTCTGCCTTGGCACTTGGACCAGTGGACTCTGCCTTGGCACTTGGACCAGTGGACTCTGTTATGACAAGATGAATTCAGTTTAGCGGTATCTGTCAATTGTTGCTATGTATTTTTTGTCAGGTATTTAGTAACAGTCACTGGAATCTAAAATTATGGTCAAATTCATGAAAATACTGTCTTAAAACATTTATTGGTACATCATATATAAATAGGGAATACTGCAGAATATCATGCTTCTTACCATCCCCAACATTTCTTGCATGTTTTTTCTTCAGGTGGTTAATTAAATCATCTCGCCTTCTGATTGATTTTTTGCAGAAGGCACAATGAAAATGAACTTTGCAAATTCCATTATGACAGTTTTTGTTGCACTTCAACATATGAAACCCTGTGGGAAAAAAATACGTGTCATCTGTATTTGCTTTCAGATTGCATTAAACATTCGAGTAATAGTGGTTAACACTTATGACTTGTGAGATTGATATGTATTACATACAGACCAATCATGATGTG